CTGCCTGAACACTTGAACCTGTAAAACAATGTAGTTTATAGAAAGAGGAACACATATAGGATTTCCACAGCAGCTGATTATACCAGAAACAATGGCTGTTCTGAAGTTAGGGCATGGTTAACTGGTAGGAATTTATTTTGGAATYACCGGCATCTGAGGATGGATTCAGTAGATATGATACTCCACCTGAGCATGGAGAAAAGCAGAGCGTGCTGTCAGAGATATCAGAAATGAGTCAGTTCCAACAATGCAAAATTAGAATGCATATTGCAGCAACAGAGTGGGAACAAGGAAAACAGTAATCATAGTGACATACCAAATTCCTGTTCTGAGGCGGAGGAACATGAAAGACAACTCATTTAGCAATTACACATTCTTTAAACCACAAAAGAGAAATTCACAGAACTGTGAAGAAAAGAAAAGCACCACATTCAATAAGTGTCAATCCATGAAATGAGATTTTGCATGCACGTGATGTTATGCCAGGCAGAATTGCAAAATGAAATGTATTTGTACCAGATACAAAGACAAGATGAGAAATGGAATGTCATATCAAGAGAGAAAATGAGTGAATGCACTAAGCTTTGAAAACTAGCAAAATAAGAAAGCAGAATGGCCATAAACTAAAGTAATTTTARAATTTCATCATAATGTTGTTACTAAGAGATGGTAATTTTTAAACCCAAMCCACAAAAAGCATTCCAACTGAAATTTTAGCAATACATAGAAACCAGTGATTTCAGCTACAGCATATGAATTTATGATCTTAGTGAAAAAAGCCACAAAACCAAMCAAACAAACCAACAAACCCCACGAAACAGGATAGATAGTTGATACAGCCAGAACTCAAAATTTTACCCAGACCTAACTTTTCTACACCATTACAATATTTATGCTGTTACATTGCYATGGTGGTTTTGCATCTGTGGAAAAGCTACTATTAATTTTACCCCAGGAAGTTAATATGATGTCTAGAATATCACATGTTTTRCAGACCGTTGGATATGTTAAGACAAAAAAGAGGTCAATAAAGTGAGTAAAAAGATAGACTTCACTGCCAAAGAATTACAGCTCACAGCTTTAATAAAGAGGTACCAAGAAATAAAGTGAAATAGGTGTATGCATACACTCAAGAATCCCAGACAATGATTAAAATGAGCTCAGGCCTCAAACCTTTCACTTGGAGATATGTTCTTCACATGGCAGAACAAGACACACTCCTAGCATTTGATACTAAAACACTATCCTGGAGAAAAAACAAACAAACAAAAAACAAAACAAAACAAAACAAAACAAAACAAAACAAAACAAAACAAAACAAAACACTTTAACAGATTATTGACTTACTATTCTGTTCAATAGTAAGTCATTCAACTACAAGGCTCTCAGCTGAGAACATTGCTTGGGAGCTGATGCAGAGATGGATGAATATCAGTTTTCTCAAGAAGAAAGATGTTTAAAGTGTGCAGACATGAACCTCATGTGATAGAGCCTCTGAAAAATTATGCCCCCAACTGCATCTCTCTGCTGGAAATAGCCAGAAAAGTAAAATGGAAAATGAGAACATTGCAGCCAAATGATTGCTCAATTGACACAGAAGGAAAAACTGAGATAGTTGCAGGCTGTTAAGTAAGAGCAGTTTAAGAAATTACCATCCCATGAGCAGGATTTGTAAGGTCTACATGGTCCATGTGTCCATCCCTGGTCTGTGCTGTACTGACAGGAATACCCAGCACCCTGAGCACCTGTGACCCCATGAGGGCAGGAGTGATGTAAGATACATATCTGAAGCCTGGGAAAAGTGAGGCCAAGGCATTAATCAGTGTTTGAGCTCTGAGGTGAACTCTGTGCTGATGTGTMTGGTTTACTGTCTATGGTGTAGACACATTTGAGTTATGTGATGTGACCCCCAGAGAAGCCTGCAGACTGTGTCACCTGAGACAGTGCCCTAGAAAGAGGATGTTTGGAAAAGGTAGGAAAACAAAACTTATTTTAAAAAAGCATTTCTAAAAAAATTGCTCAGTGAATGTGACTGAAGCAGCAAAGCCAGGAGAACTACATCACCTACAACTGAMTTCTTATCCAGAGCAGCCCAGAGTTCAGAAATATAGTTCCTAACAAAAATATGAGATCATCAGCTGGTTCAGRTCTCAAGGGATATTAAAATAACAGTTTTGAGAAAAGAACTAAGGAGAAACAAAGGGCAAACAAAACCAACAAAGGATTTTAAAGTACTTCAATCTCAAAACATGTCCATCTTCATTATAAGAGCCAGATCACAGAGGAGAAGCTTTCCTTTTTGGATACTGAATGGTGAAGACAGCATAAGCATTTCCAATTATGTTGAATATAGAGGCAGCCAACTTGAGGATATGTCAGGACAACCTGAGAACAAAAGCTTGTCTCTAGGAAATAAGCAGCATCCCCAGTGCATTTTTCCAGAGGTGGAAACTGTCTTCTCATTATAAATGGCATGTCTGTTTGTGCTRAGTTTATGCTCTGCATCTGGGAGATAATCATATTGCTCCATCCTACTGCCACAGTTATCGAACAGAAAGGCTGAAGTGGAAGATAAAGCTGTTATTTTTCAGTTTACAGACKGTATTTGTAAAAAGAAAATAAGTCAGACTAAGCTGACTCCTCAAGGAGTATTGGTAGCACCTTAGTATAAATTTGCATGTTCCTTGGTTCCTGTGGAGCAGCAGTTTTTGCCGTCTTCAATCTTGTAGATGGTGYTGAAGAACTCCTGAAATCTATCTATCTGTGATTTTAGTCTACCAGGCTGTCCTTCCAAATAAGATATTGCAGATTATATTGAATTAATTTAACCTGTAGGCTCTTGTAAATTGGTAATAGTATGTAATTTCTTTTAAAATGTCATAATCTTTTTCCTAAGAGGTCAACACCAAGTGCTTGTAAAGAAAATAGAAGAAATCTTCCAAATCTTTTCTAGTTAAGTTATAAAGATGTGGCTTAGTATCTCTTTCTAAATTTATTATAACATACCTCAGATGTTATACAGAAATAAGAAATAGCAGCTTTTCAAATATTAATTCTTTCCTATGTTTTTGATTTTGTGTTGTTCAACTTTGATGGCATATCACAGCAACACTAGTACTAATGCTGTAGCACAAGGGTYTAGAGAAATCAGTGGTGCAAGGCTTTGCCTGCAAGTAGTTAAATATGTGTGAGTCTCTCGAACTTCATTTTTTGTGTGTGTAATTGTGAATTAATTGTGTCTTTCATTAATCTTTAAGGTAATATTTAATTATTGCTTAAGGTCTATTAATATAGCATAAGGAAGAAATACTCAATTTTCTCTAATGGAGAAAATTAAAAATCAATATCTAAGCCATCCCATTTAGAAAAGTAATTTTAAAATAAGTAATGAGACTATCATTTTGAATTGTGTAACAAATAATTTCATGTTTTAGAGCATACTGTAGTCAAGGGTGATTTGTTTAGCAAATTCAACTCCATTTGCTAATGCAGCTCCTATTTTGTTTGTCCTTACTATCCCCATTTTCTGTGTAGCACAGTGGGAAAATACATGAAGACCTGACGTCTCTTACAGATGTTTTTATTTCTGATTTATTGTGTTCCTTCCCCTCTGGTCTAACATCTCATTTGAACCTGTCAGTTGCCCTCCAAGAACGGTGCCCTCAGTTCAGACTCCTGAAAGCACTGGTGCTGCCCACCAGGGGGTTCTTTTCCACAGAAGATGTTTTGCTTCTTTCTCCCCCCACAATCTGAGTCACAACATGAGGCAGTGGTGCTCTGATTATGGTGCCAGAGCATCATACAGCCAAATGTCTCAAATGCTCTGCAAATAGCTGCAAACTCTTCTTTTAGAGATGATATTGTAACRCAAGAAATTAAGATCACAGGTATTGCACAAATAGGTAAACAAGGACTTGAAGGCAAAATCACTTTGCAAGGGCCATACATACATGCAGAGCCASAAATAACAATAAAATGTATGATGCTTTTAAAAGTCTATGAAAGAGACCATAAGGCAGATTTTACTTCTCCCGCTATTCAACAACCTTAATAAATCCCTAATTGGCATAACTATAGTGACCCTCCTGAAAACATTGAAACTTTCCCAGTTTCCAGAAAGAGAAAACTGATTCACCTTTTCTCTCCTTAGCAAAGGGAACAAAGCTTTTTGTGCATGAAAAGCTTTTGATTCCTGAGGATCAGAAGATCTCTATATTGCCAATCCTGTGTTCAGAACAAATCCAAAGCAGAGGCCCATACCAGCCACTGTGAAGAAAATGAACTCTGTCTCGGACAAAATCAACACAATAGTTTACTAAGCTTGGCTGGTACTGAAATTCAGAGTAGGGTCTCCCCATTCTTTAGAAGATTTCAGGGAAAACCAGGGTTTTAACAAACATACCTTGGTGGGGCTTTTTCTTCAATTTGCTACTGAAATAGGAAAATGCAGATAGCCCAGCCTCCTTTTCTGTGTTTCCCTGGTGCCACTGGTAAGCTCTCAGATATACCAGCAATATTTGAAATGGCTGAGCACCATTTCTTCTGAAGTGATGGAGCARACCCTTCTTGTTGCTTACCTTGGTCATATGCAGAGTGAGAAACATCTAAAGGGTAAGCAGCCACTCAAAGACCCCTTAACAACTGCTGAGCTGTTCGATCAGTTTGGCTCTGGGAGTATGGAGCCAGCGTTGGATCAGATATACAAAGAGCCTGTGAGCAGAGTTGCATGGCTGCAAACTCAGTATGAGAGGAGATTGAGCAAATCAAATCAGATGCCACAGGCACGATTTGCTTGCTGTTAATGTCTCTCTAACATCACAGGCTATCTCTAAGCTATACTTTCCATTGCCTAGCTGGCTTGCAAAACTTTTAATGGAACAAGTTTTTCTGGCAGAAGAACACTGATTTTTATCTTTAATGAGCAGCCTCTCTATCATTTAGCTTCAGGAAACAGCTTCCTGGTTGTAAACTGCTTGAGACTGCTGACAGCCAGGCAACTTCAAAAGCAGCCAGGAGCAACTTTCTTGCTAACTTTGGGAAAGAATTAAAAAATGCTGAAAGCTGCACATGATTCTGCTGTGGAGCAGGAGGACTCTGMTTCCCGGCATGGAGAAATTACAAGCTGGGATATCAATGACATCAAACTTCCCCAGGTATGTGTTTGTGTCTTAGAAATTTATTTAATTCTGTCCAGTCATGTCCCCCACTGATCTTGCTTTCTCAGTCATCTATGCCTCATTGCCTTTATTTTCTTTGTCACCTCAAGRTATGGGGCAGTGTTTTGCTAGAAAATATTGAGATTTCCATGCATTTCTCCTTAACTGTATTACTGAAAGAGCTGTTGGTGCATGAAAAATAGCAATGCTGCAGATGCATTGTTTTCACTGGTGGATTAGGTGCAGAGAAAGCAGAGGGGAAGAAAAGGTGCCTCCTGCTCTGGGCACTTAATTAGAGCTTTTTGCCCTGGGTAGTGCTTTATGAAAAGGGAGCACAGTACCCACAACTGCCTTGCAACTGTGGGTGCTCAGTCTCACCGCAGATCGAGCTCCAGCTCCAGGGCTGTCCTGCCACGTGGTGGCAAGTCTTTTCATGAGCACCTGGTAGGGAAACCTTGCTTCATGTTTGCAGAGATGTGTTGAGAGGCAGAATAGTGATCTTCCCCTCCCTCTGTCCTTCCCTGGTTCTCTTAGATAAAAGTTTTAACCATGTTCTACACTGAAAGCCCACACGCCCTGCACACCAACATCACCTCCCTGTCCCTCACCTCTGCATATTTCTGCCAGATTCCTCCTACTGCAGTCCTTCAGTGTCCAGTTCTGCCTTTCACCACTCAACCCTGCATTCTTATTGGATCCCAGCCTCTCCCCTACTGTGACTGTGCTGTTTGCCCGAAGTCTCCATGTTCCAGGATGTCCCCTTCCCTGCCCTTCACCTGAAGGTCACTGTCACCTGCATTTCAGTCTGGAGGCCTCATTGACACTCTTGCCTACACTATCCAGTGGCTACCAGGGGAGCACGGGAGTTTTTCTCTTTTTGGTTGATGTTCTTATTGCTGTCATGGCCCTCAGTTCTTAGATTAGCAATTTAAAGGAAGCTTTTGTATACCTCACAATCAATTTTTCCTCAAAACCATAACCAGATATGGTAGAAGCCTTACAGCTTACTGCATTTTACTCTGCTGACTGTACCCACTGATGTACCCTCATGTACTGATTTGATTTGTGTTTGCGCTTTTGGGTTTTTTTCCCCCCAGTTTTTAATTTTTATTGCTCCTTACTGTGTTGTCCTTCAGGTCTGGTGTTTGTTYGGGGGCTTTTTATGGTGTTTTTTATTATTTTTATTTGGTTGGCTGGTTGGTTGGTTGGGTGGGTGAGGATAAGCTCCTGGGAAGGCCTTCCTGATGCTCTGGGGCTCATGGGGAGCCACAGAGAATTGTGTTTTTCTGCCTTACCTCCACTGTTCCCTCCTGACAACTAGCATCACCTGCCAGGATGCTGGGGTCACCTAGGCTAAAGGACACCCAGCAGACRTCCAACTCCGCTCAGCACTCAGACAAGCTCTTCTCCTTCCAGCCTAAAATGTGGCTTGCTTTGCTCTTCCCATAGGATGTAAGCCAGACAGACTGGTTTCAAGAATGGCCAGATTCCTATGTAAAACATATCTATAGCTCKGAGGATAAAAATGCTCAGAGGCACCACAGCAGCTGGGCAATGAGAAACACCAACAACCACAACTCTCGCATCTTAAAAAAGTCCTGCCTTGGGGTGGTGGTTTGTGGTAACAACTGCTCGACCTTGGATGGGAGGAAGATCTACCTCAGACCAGCCATATGTGATAAAGCCAGGCAAAAACAGCAGCGTGAGTATGAACATGGCAGCTCATTATAAGGTGGTTCATAAGTGAACACAACACAGCAGAAATCAAAATATAGGATAGCCTTTGGATTATCCAGCCTTCCTTCTGCAATTCCTTATATTCAAATGCAACTCTTGATTTGGAACAATGTATTTTACATTTCTTACTGTTGCRGTGTAGACATCACCTGTTTATTTTCTTTCTTTTTTTAATCTCTATTTCTGCTGGTAAGGGATTGRTTCCCAGCCTTCTCTGGCCCATGAGTGAGGCTACTGAGAAGGCTGTGCAGTGCAGGCAGCTTCCTGCCCTGCTGTTCGTGTCCACCTGGGTATTGGCTCCACTATTGCACTGGTCTGAGAATAACTCAGGAGGCAAACCTTGCAGGAAAGAAGTTGCTCATAAACTGTGATGACTGGAAAATAGTCCTTGCAGTCACGTCACTGGAGCAAGACAATGCAAACAGAGAACATGAGCTGCACGCACATTTTTAACATGACCATTCCAAACAATTGTGATTGCTCAGTAGAGCTAGCACATACTGATTTCTGGATCTGATGTATATTTTGGCKAAAGAAACGTATTACTCATGAGCTCACTGAGGCCAGAACAATGTTTTGTAGAAAAGTCAAGACAAGAACACATATGACATTCTAAACATTGACAAGAGAAAAACTAAAACTGACCAKGATCATAAATGATAAAATTGTAATAATGCTGTAAGAGAAATAATTTTTGAAAGTTATATTTAACAACAGACAGAACAAAGGCAGTGATTAATTTGTTTGTATTAATTTTTGCTTATGTTTTGAGGTTTTTTGCACAGTTTCTCTCAGTGTAATTTCTGAGCCCCAAACCAGAAGTGGCAATCTGCCACTAATGAACCATTGTATCACATGGGATTAATCTAATCAGTGTTGTATACAAAACATTTCCCTCTATCTTTGCTCCAGGGAAATGCTGTCCAAACTGCAATGGACCRCTGCGACTCCTTTCCTGCCGAGGTCATGGTGGTTACCCAGTTACCAACTTCTGGAGACATGAAGGCCAATTCATATTTTTCCAGGTTTGTATAAAATTACCTAACATTATGAAAGTTAATTTTAAAGACTGGCATTTTAAATTTTATTGAGGTTGTTTTGTTCAACAAATATTGAATAGGACAAGGTCAAATGACTGTAGGGAGAAAAATTTTCACAGCGTCCTAAGCAACCTGGTCTGAAGTTAGTCCTGCCTGAGAAGGAGGCTGAGCTAGAGAGCCCTTCCAGCCTAAATTAGCCTTAGCTACCATGATTTTACAGCATACTATATTTTTTATTTAGGCTTCTGTGAAAACCTGTTGATTTTGAAGTGTTTTGCCCCGGGTACATAGGAACCAACAAATCCTCAGGTACATAGGAACCAACAAATCCTCAGAAGTCAGAAATACCTTGTCATCTCTTCTCTTTCTCAAAGGCACCACACATAAGCATGAGGCTATCTTGGAGGAAGAAACTGTTGTACCCAAGGAACTGTCCATGGAAAATGCCATCTGTGAATTTATATAGGAACACAGTGTATGCAAGTGTTTAAATAATGGACACTATTTCTGGAAGCTGTGGTCTTAATTTAGTAACAACCACTCTCCTGCTTTCCAGTCTTCCATTTATGTGCAGGTTAAGTAAAATTAATTCTCTSTAGGAGATAATGAAAATTAATATTCTGACAAACATGTCTACATTGTGAGAAGAATGAAAGTGACTGCAGGGATGCTCTAGCCAAACTGCAGAAGTCCTCATGACTTCAGCTGAAGCTCTAGTGATAAAATCTGATTTTATGATTGCAGAGCATTTCTATGCCATTCCACTTCATCTGGGATATGTTCATTACTTGAATTCACAGTAACTAAATCCTATTAAATACAAAGCRCCAAATTAGGCCATAATGTGTGATTTTGACCTGTGCTATAAATTCTGGTCCCTTAAGATTATTAACAAGGTTGCTTCTACCTTTTACATACCTTAATTACTTTCTGAAGTCCAAAGGAGCTCATGACCACCCACGTCCAGAAACAAAATTAGAAGCAGAAGCAAGAAGATCAATCCAAAAAGCAAAGACAGCATTTTCTCCACCTTCTCCAAGATTAAAAAGAATCCAGGAGATTGAGGTAACTTTTGCTATTGTGAATGAAATTTTGGTCAAGCAATCTGTGGTTCAAGGTGTGGTGGAAGCTATCTGGGCTTTGGGTCTGAGTGGGAGCAGGCTTTACCTCTTCACATTCTGCTCATGATTAGGCCAAGGACCAGGCGTGCCCCAAGCATCCTGYTTTCCTTAGCACTGTCATCCACTGCCAGCACCCCCTTTCCAGGGCAAATTTGCACCTGGTGGCAGCAGGAGATCACAAGGCAGGGCTGGATGGTAGGCTAAGTTTCTTCACCATTTACATGGAATTTCCCGTGCATCAGTTTCTGCCCATTTCCTCTTGCCCTATTGCTTGGCACCACTGAGAAAAGCGAAGGCATCCTCGACCTCTGCTTGCTCCCCTTGAGTTTTGCCAATGTTCAGAAGCAGAAGGTGCATCACCTATACCTGGTTTGCCCTCTTTACTTCCCCAGTGTCCAGTAGGGCTTTGAAGGCAGAAGAATGCTTTGAAAGTCTTTCTGTAGCATTGATGTTAAAACATCAGCTCTGATGGATGTAGGAACATTTGCAAAAGCATCTCCAGAGATCCCTGGGACTGCTGCATGCCTGATGGAGSGAGTCAGGCTGAGGGGTGAGGCTGTCTCCAGTGACCTTCCTTGGAAAGGCTGAGTTACATTCAGCTGTCACCACTGGTATTCACATGCAGTTTGTCTTCTGGTACGTTAGAGGTGGTGCATTCCCCCAGCCTGGTGTTAGGGACAGTAATCCATGACCCTTCAGCCACAGACAGAAGGGATAATTGGTCTGGGTGGGGACAGATTTCTTAAATGGATGACATGGAGAAGCGAGGTGATCTGGGAATCCAAGAAGTAGATAAAAGAGGAAGTTAAACCCATTTGAATAGAATGTGAATTTAGAAGCTGCAGATATTTCTACTGGAAATAAAAACCAGAACCACTTGACACAAGTGCCTGGGAACAAAAGCATAAGAAAAACATCTGAGCTGTCTAAATGTCGAACAAATACAGCAACAATGCTTTTCCTATCACTGGTTTAGTTCTGTTTCCATGAACGCTGAARTAGCTTTCACTTAGGAAATATTACTGAATCATGTGGCTTTCTTTATTTTACARCTGAGCCTACTGGTCAGCCTACTAACTTAGGACAAACTCCCTGAAGACATGCTTTCTCCTCTTTCCCTTCCGAAAACATCTTCCTGATGCTTTCACTTTCAATTGTGTGGGAGTAGAAACAGACTAAAGATACCATAAATGTCTAAGAGTAGAGCCTGCTCTTCAGYTGTTCTGAATCTGTGCAGTCAGACCATTTACCCTCAGCTGGCTTTTTAGTTCATGGTTCTCCAGAAGGTTTTCTTTGGGAATAACCCATCATATTTGTGTTTTGACAACACTGGCTAAGATACAACTAATGCAGGAGTCCGGTTTGTCACACAGAACCTGTGTTGCTCTGCAAAAATGTATTCTGAAAAGATTCAGTTTTAATGTGTTCAATCTGCAAAATATATGCTTAAAAGATTCAGTTTTAATATGCTCACAAGAGACTAGGGAGTAGAACTTTAGAAAAAGGTATGAGCCTGAAATAGAGCAAGTGATATACAGGATGTTCTCTCTAYGGCATCAGCAAGTCTTTAGCTGAATGTGGGCTGGGTCCTACAGCAGATAGTTGGAATTTCTTCTCATGGTGAGTGGAGAACAACTGAAAGGAGTTTTGCTACTCCAGCAGTCCACAAAATCACTATAATTAAATGGATGAAAAAGCAGAATAATAAAGAAGAGAGACCTGCAAGTACTCATCAGAAATGATAGCACAGAATGAGTGTTCTGAAAGGAATTAAATTTTGCATAATTATAATCCAATAATTAGGGCAATTAAAGAAGTTGTGAAATATCCAGAACAAAAGACACAGAAGAATAATTTTTGTTGCTGATCTCTCCCTGAATGAAACTTCTGTTTGTAAGGCAAAAAAACATACAGAGAAGAAAATTTATTAGTTAGAAATAGACTCTAGAAAAGCTGACACAGAATATTATTGTAGTGAAAAGACCACTTCAAAACAATCAGTTTTAAAAAGTATACTTAGSTTTTCCAAACTGCATAGAAAAAAAATAATAAATTCTGTGAATGCAAGATCTAAACAACTTTTTCAGTTTAAAAYAGGCTTTGGGCAAAAACAGGTGAGACAAACCTAGAGCCATGAGCTGGGAGGCTTGTTTGGTTTGCCCCTATGATCCACGTGTACCTCGCTACAAGGAGGCTCTGCTGTGCCGTCTGCGCTGTTACTTGTGCTCACAGAACCACAGAATGATCAAGGGTGGAACAGACCTCTAACATCATCAAGTGCAGCCATGGTATTAGTTGAGTGCTTTTGTAAGCATCTCACAGGGGAGAGGCGCTACATCCCACCTTGTTTCAGTAACCCATGCCTTGCTTTCCCGAGTCTCTGACAGGTGCAATGCCGACACAGGAGCCTTTGCCTTCGATTCTCTCCAAGCCGGAATCTCAGGCGCCACCTGTTAATTTCATGGGATGTTTCAACAAAAGCTGCCCGGAGCCGACCCCGAGCAGCTGCTCTGAGCGGCTGCCACAGCCAAGGACAGCCGGGGAGGACAGAGCCGGAGATGTCCCAGCCTGGAGCCGCCTGTCCCTCGGGAGGGTCCCCGGTGCCCACAGGCCGTGCGGTGTCCCTGCTGTGCCCTGCACCGCCCYTTCCCCTCAGCGCTGCGCCCGAATCAGCGCCCAGCACGTCCTGCCCGTGGCTAAGCGTGCTCATGATCCCTTCAGGTCAGGTGGTCATGACTCTCTTCAGGGTGATGGATCCTGTGGGGAAAAGTCCCCCCTGACCTGCAGCGGCAGCTGCCTCTCTGCGCCGCCATTCCCCGCGCCTCAGGGCGGCCCGTGCCCCATGGCGGCCGGGACACAGCCCCTCCGACAGCTCTCGGCGCCTCCRAGGGGATGCGAGGGAGACAGGGGTGGGGGAAGGCACCAGGTGTGCCTCGACTACTGCAACAACGACATGTTTTTGAACCTGTACCCACTGCGGTGACTGGGTTTAAACGTCCCTGCTCGCCCCTCCTGTAGCAATGGATCCAGGTCTCCATCCCTGTAGCAACACAAGACAGGAAATTGCTACCACAACAGGTCTCACTTTAGCTCCTCTTGCAGGCCCCAGGAGGGGCTTTATACCTGAAAGTTTGTGTTTGTTCCTTCTTATTTAACTGTCATATTCACCCCCACTACTTCATGGATCTAATAAAAGTTACCAGCTCCTCTTACAGACTGCCTCACTGCCATTCTGGTTTGGGAGCATTTGAACCCTTCTCGAYGCACAGCTTGTTCAAGCCTGTGGGACTGCAGAAGGTGCAGATGGATGACCTYAAGGACCACAACTGTCATGTGCAGCCTTCTGCACTCTTCCAGCTCCTTCAGGCAGTCCCTCTATGGATCTAAGTCCCTCCACTGCACCAGCCTTGCACATGTGTTGTACAGAGCTGATGTAGAGCATCACATGGGATCTCATGAGAATGGAGTATGTGGGGAGAAACCTGTTCCTCGACCTGCTGGCCACATTTCTTTAGATGCAGCCCAGGATACAGTTGGCCTTTTGAGCTGCATATGCACACTGCCAGATTGTGCCCAACACACCAATAGCCCTAAGTCCTTGACCTCAGGGCTGGACCCAATTTGATATACGTATATATTCAAGGTGCCTTGCTGCTTTTTCCAGCCACTTTTCATTTCTTTCACTGCAGACGATAAAGAATCCTTCAGCATCCATTCCATACATACATACCCCCTTTGCTGACCACAGCCATAAGCTGTATTTCAGCAGAACCTACCAGTTCTCTGCATTTATTTTAAAAAGTAGGGTGCCAAATAGGAATTTCCTTGCCTGAACTTAGTGGCCAGCTCAGAGCTCTTTAGCAAAGATTCCTTTATCTTTTCCCATAACTGATATCTGCATGACTTCCCTGCATGGCTGGTCTCTGCTGCTCTCTGGACTGGGTTTCAGGGGCCACCGACCTCCCCTGGAGAGGCAGACACACACACACCCCTGCTGCCACCTCTGCAAGGAAGAGCTGAGGGATGTTATGTACAGAGCCATATTTCAGGGCTGGTTCCTTTAACCACCAAAGGTAGAGAGTCTCAGCTCCAAGGGCTGCCCAGATGGTGTTTGTAACTATGCCCTGCCTTGCCTTGGGAGCAAGATGTGCCCCAGAGATCTGAGGAGAAATAAACCTTTTGTTGGGATGAGTCCAGGAGGACAGTATTACAAAACAGGTGGCAATAAAAATGCCACCTCAGAGGGGGATGTATCAGGTGTTCATCRAATAGGTTCAGTCGTATCATGCTCCCCCCCTCAGTTTTTATCTTTTTAGCATCTCTAATTTTTATTTTTTTTAAGACTTTGGAACATATTAGTTGCTAGGGAAACCATTCTCCTGGTGAAGGGTGTAGTTCAGAGACATTTATAAGACAAGAATGAATTGTATTTATAGAGTGTTTCAAAATGTTTATTGGAATTTGTGAAATGGGATGCACAGTGATTTAAGTGGAAAAAATCTAAATGTAGATCACAAAATAGTAGTGTACTATTATACATGAAGGTCAACTCACCAAACCTTTTTTTAGTCAGTGAGTTACTCCCACTAATTCCAAACTTGGCATGTTTTATGATGACTTTTCAGATCATTAACTCAGAGAAGGAAACTTTGATCAACATTTGTAACAATCTSCACCTCTAATAAAAAGAGAAATCAATAGAAGCCATGAGCACTTGTGCTTCAGGAGGTGAGCTGCAGGATTAGGGACAGGCAGGGCCCCAGGGCTGGTGTCCCATAGCTGGGATTCCTCTGCAGCTGCCAAACCGGCCACACCGGTGAGGGACCACACAGGGCATGGCCCCTGCCACTGCCATGGGGCTCTGACTCATCTTGTCTCTCCTCTGAACTCCCTGCCTCTCCACTGCAGTGCTGCCAGCATCACCTCTCAGCCATACAAATGTGTGGCCCAGGAGGCTCCTTGCTATTGTTCCCACACTGAAGTTCTGTCAGTTCCCTTTACACGCACCAGCCACCTWCTCTGTTTTTAGAAACTTCCAGCAAAGGAGTTCTTTTCCACAGCTTCTCTGTTCCAATYTCAGCTGTTAGCATTTTTTCACTTATCTGATTTTCTTTCCTGCAAATCAACCATTTCTTCGAGTCTTTTAAGATGGGTACCATGCAATTACTAAGTTTCACAGGCTTCCTAAAGGGCTGTTACAACAAAACCTCCCTAAAAGATAATTACTACCAACGTTTCTCCTTGACAGAGAAGCAAGAAGCTTTTTGTTGGTTTGCCTTTGAGTCTGAATCAAAAGCTTTCGAAAATGGAACCTCTTCCTGTGATCTCAGCTCTCCTCAGCTCTYTGCCATAGAAGAGCCATGCCCTCTTGCAGCTTCCATGCTCATCATCCCGTCCCAAAATACTTTCATATTTTGCTGGAGGTGTTGCTTTCAAAGGGGTTTGCATAGCAGAAATCAAGATCAAATGCTTCAGTTCTTCCCTGTCAAGAATGGAGGCTGTTTACAGTGGCTGTTTACAGTTTACATCATCCCGTGCAAGCAGGATTGTCCCAGTGTTTGGGGGTCCCCCAGCCCCTTTTCACACAGACTGTTCTGAGAGAAACACGTTTGAAGCTCAAGGAGGACAGATTATTCATTTTCAAAAAAGGAGGAAACAAAGACTTTGTGATTTTTCTAAGGTCAAACACAGAAAGGCTTTTGAGATTTATAACTGCCAGGTTATTTCAACCTTTCCAAGTTCTTGTAGTGACTTCTGTGCTGGCAGTAACCCCCTCCACTTCAGATGCATTCAGCACGGTGGGTCAATATAGCACCAAATTTATCTCTGTTTGGCTCGAAATACAAAGATACCAATCCCTGGTAGGTCATCTCTGACCTACACAAAAATTAATTTTTCAATATGTTTGGGATATGTGAAAATAAACATATATATATGACTGCTTAAAGCCTCTTTTAACCAGCTCTAAGGTATAGTGCCCAACTGGGCAGTGATAAGAATAGTAGAATCATAGAATGGTTTGTGTTGGAAGRGAACTTAAAGATCATTYAGCTCYAAACCCCACTGCCACGTGCTGGGACAATCTCCCCTAGAGCACATTACTTGGAGCCCCTTCCTGGCTGATCTTGAGGACCTCCAGCAATGGGGAGTCCATAGCCYCTCTGGGCAACCTGTTCCAGTGCCTCACCACCYTCATGATAAAGAATTTCTTCCTAATATCTATTCTAAACCTACCCTCCTTCAGCTTAAAACTATTCCTCSTCATCACTACACACACCCATTAAAAGTCCCTCTTCAGCCTTCTTGCACGCCTCCTCTAGGTACTGGCAGATGCTATAAGATCATCCTAGAGCTTCCTCYTCTCCAGGCTGAGYGGCCCCAACWCTCTTAGCCTGTCTTCATAGAAGARGGGTTCCAGCCCTGTGATCAACTTAGTGGCTTCCTCTGAACTCATTCCCACCAGTCCATCTTTCTTGTGTTGGGGGTCCCATACCTGGATGCAGCACTCCAGGTGGAGTYTCACAAGAGCACAGTAGAGAGAGAATCAGAGGTGAAGGAGCACTGGATGCATTATCCTCTGCCTTTTAAAGAAAATATTGTGAACACCCAGGTAACTTCAGTTGATCTGTGAGGATCCACCCCATATATAACCCTATAACCTTGTTCTCTTCTGCAGAAAATGGATTTCTGGAAGGCACAGCTGCAGCAAAGCATTAGGAAGGCAGCAGAGATGCAAGGAGGTCAGGATGTGGATGATTACACAGGCAAAATGGCTTGTTCTGGCTTATTGCTGTTTCTGGCAGCTGTAGCTGCTGCCAAAGCTAACACAAATACCCATTTGTGGCATGGATGATCTACACTACTTTCCCGAGGTCTTAGCTCTGAAAGCACTGGCCTCAGTATTGAAGGGCTAATTCTTTGGGAGCAATATCTGCTTGCTCTGAAGCAAGTACTTTTATGTGTAAGGGCTCTTTTGAGGCCATCTTTGAGAACTACAGCAATGTTCCTCAGAGTTGTACATTAGCCAGGCTGTATCTTACAGAAACACAGCTTTTATGCTTGGGGGGTTTTGACTCATGAAGCATTTAAAGGTGAAATACAGACATATAATGATAAGGTACTATCTAAATAGTACAAGGCAGATTCTGGACACCTGTTTGTTGGTGTAATTATCCTGAGAATATCAGTTTGAGAAAGGGAAATGCTTTTGTATCAGTCACAGTAAAGAGGAAGTGAGAAAGCAGAACAGGGATTTGACCCACATCTCTCCAGCCCTGGGAACATACACTGTTTCTTCTGGCCTTCCTCTCCCCAGGGCCTCTGCCTTTGCATGTGAAAAGAATTGCAGGTCAGACTGAGCAAAGGCAGCTATTTTCCTTTTCAACCTCTTGTGCAAAGCTCCTGGCTCTGGGGAGATTGGCAAGACTGTGGACTATTTACTAAAATGCGGTCCTAAATGCCTTCTCTGTATTTTTAAATGAAACAGGGTTGTCCAGCTTCTGTAGAGTAGAAAGGACTCCAGCTGTAAGGGATACACCCTGAGTCATTGTCAAGAGCTTTTCTTTCGTTGTGGTCTTTGGGATGTTTAGTAATCTGTGTGTCTGGTACTCCTGGCAATTTTGCTCTRCTGTCCCTCAGGGTAGTAATTTGGGGCTTTTTAATAATTACGTTCAAGGAGTTAGTTAGTGTTTTGCTTCATTGCAAGCAGTATGTAGAAGTATCCCCTGTGGTGGATCTGGCRGGCATATGGCCAGGAACATGCTTTACAGGGACTGGGGAACCAGGAGAGGCAGGGGAAGATGGGAAAATGATGCAGTTAATTTAAAAATAAAAACTAAGGAAGTCTGTTGGTGTCAAAATAAAACTACATGAAGTCAATAATCAAAGCAGAGCATGAATAGGAAGGATACTGAAATTGCACATCTAAACACCCAGAGCAGTTGAACTTGACTCGTTCACTGCACTGACTGACCCTGGTTCAGC